ATATATATATATATATATATATATATATATATATATATATATATACGTCTTTACCCTCGAGGAAACTTTGTTTTTCAACAAGATTCTACACCAAGTCATACTTCAAAATCAATTATAAAATGGCTGAAAGATTAAAAAATAAATTTTCTGCCTCCTGAGAAATGGCTACGACCATCTCCTGACTGTGTTTATTGCAATTATTTTTTTTTATAGGAATACTTAAAAAACCAATAAAACAGACGTAAAGTACGTTGACGTAAGCAACAGACGTGGCTTAAAGCCCTTCCCTTCACAAAGTTTGATAAGTTAGATAAATTTGCTCATGGCATGTAATAATTGTACTTTCAGAACTACTTGCCTATATGAAAAATTATCTCCAAAATGAAATATATACAAAAAAACTTTTACTGATCCAAGTTACCCAATGAGCATGTGAAGTCAGCATTAATAATTTTTCTTGATAAAGTTGATCCCTAACTGTAAATGATTGTCAGTTGAAAATTATAACTACTTAATTCTCAGCAATAGAATTATGTCAATTATTTTAATTTTTTGGGATAAATCTCATGTCATTAATTAAAGCTAAATGCCCATTTTCATTGTCTATTCCAGTTATTGCACTTCTTAACTGATTTGTGGGATGCACTTAGATTGTAAATTTTACAATGTATTCAAAATGAAACTGGTGGGTTGAATTGTTGGTGTTCGTGAGCTAGCGCGATGGTTAGATTAAAGTTAATTTGGTTAGAATTACAGTCATTATATTTGAAGAGCGCAAATTAAGCCGTATAAAACTATGATAAAAAGCGTCTATTAATTGACTCAGACTAGAATTCATTTCTGGCTATACTCCGTTTCCCCTTAAGTTGGCAGCGCTGGGAAGGGTACGCGGACCAAATCACAGCCACTACAGGGTTACTCTAGAAGAAGAGTGTGACTATAACAAATAAAATTCTCCATATTTGGCGAGCAAAAAAATTACTCTTGAAAAATTTGTTCATTAAAATTGTATGAGTTTTTTTTTTTTTTTTGATAATAGTATAAGCCCCTTCTTTAATCGAAATATTTAAGAGTATGTTTCAATATGTTTAAAAGTATTGATTAATTAACTAGCAAAACTTTTCTCGAATAAAATATCAATAGTTCCCAACATGTGGATTGCATTTTTTTAAATGAAAAAATACAGTTAAATTGTAATTCACATGCTATCATTACATTGATTTTTTTAAGTGACTTATGCTATTTTCAAAATAAACGGCTCATATATCTTTAGTTTCATAATTTCATTTATTACATCTGTTTATAAAATAAAAATTTATATCTTGTTTATAAATAATTAATCATGTTTTCCATTATTACTGTTTTAAATCAGTTTGTAATTATTATTCATATTACATGTAAATGCCGTTTATGTACGTTAGCTTAAGATATACAGAAGTACATAATAGAATTTGGGGATTAATTTCAAAAATTTATCAATATTAAAACTTATAATCTTTTATAAAATTTATAGTTTATCTGGAAAAAAATATCTCGATGCATACTTCAAAAATTATGTTACTAACATTATATGCAAAGTTTATATATTCAGCTCAATAAGTATAACTTTTAAAGAAAAAAAAAGATTTATTATAATAATTTAATACAAAAATTACATATTTTGATATTTAGAACTGTTTTTGTTGTAAAAAAATTGTTTAAAATTTCAAAAAACAACAAGAATTAAGATAGCGCACGAGATGTAAAAATATCTATTATAAGAACGAAGCTAAATCGCAAAGCGAATGGCGTTGATTTGGCGCGAATATTTCGGAAGAATGTAATCTTGAAAATCGGTTTTTTCAGCCAAATATTGTTGTTGTCAGCCAAAAGTCATGTGGCTGTTTTCTACTGTATTCGCGTTCACAGGGATTAAAGAATAAATGCTTTTAAGATGTGATTAACTTAAAATATATCTTTAAACCTACAATTTATATAATACATGATACTTTTTAATAATTTTCTGTGCATTTGCATTGATTTAAATTCCAGAACATGTTGGAACTACTTTTTCAAGCGGATTGTTACATTCCCTACCTTTCCCAACGCTGCCAACTTGAGGTGAAACAGAGTATAGATTGAGTATATACCCGAAAATCCGCGCTGACGCAAACACTCGTCTTCTGTCTACCGCAAATCAATTGCCGAAATGTGAATTTAAGTTCTGTTGTCACTATAGACCCACTTTATAGAGGGCTGATGTCGAGGCTCAAAACCCTCACTTAGACGTGGTTTGGAATTTGGAAAATGGGGCACCAGTTCACTTGAGAGTCCAAATTATTATGTACATCGTTAAAACTTCAAAGGGCTGCATAAATTCAACAATCAATCAATCAATCCTGAAAAAAAAACTTTTTAGCTTTCTATTGAACATTAATTAGTAACAGAAGCATGTTTCTGTTACTTTAGAACAGGAATAAGCATTAAGTAGAACGCGATCGACCGGTGGACCACCAAGACATTTTGAGGTGACCGCCTTTACTGAGACCTAAAACGCATATGTAAAAGAAACAGGTTTATGGAATACCTACACCAGCTAGAATGGATAATCGGCTTTTCACAATCAATGAGACTATGTTTACTGTTAAAAATGATTATGTAGACGACACATATACCTTCATTGGAAGCACATGATGATGCATAAAAGGTTCACTGCTGCTGTTGAAAAAAAACCAATCACTGCGATACCTACCGAAAAATGAATTTTTCCCCAGACGCAGACTGAAGGGGAGAATAAATGTTGATAATCAGCTCTTCCCGCATTTTCACGGGATTGGGTTCTCGTGTTGATATCATGTCCCACAATGGCACGGGACTAGGTAGCGACAAATTAAGTACATACGTCGATTTCAGATTCATCGGTTTATGTATACTGAACGCTCCACAGTCTAGAAGTCAGTCATGGTTGTTCAAGCGTTCAACTTGACAATTTTGTGTTACTTGTATTTTTGTATTAAAAATAGTAATCTGTCATCTTTTAAAAGATGGGTACAAAGTCGAAAACAAGTGTTAAGAAAAGAAAACATACCATTATAATATAGAATAGCCACACCTACGCCAATGGGTGACCGCACCACCCTAAAAGCATTAGAAGTAGCCCGTACCCCCCGAAAAGTCTGCCCACCCCTGCTTTAGAAGGTTAAACCTTCTAAAGTAAATTTGTCTTGGTTTGAACTAAATATTCAAAAAATATATTATTTGTTATATTATTTGATAAGACATTTGAAACAGAAAAAATAATCATTAATGAGAAAGTAAATAGCAAATGTAATTATAACATTTCTTATAGAAAGTAAATTATAACTAATTAAGATTTAATGTTTAGCAAAAAATACATATATACTCTCTTTCCAACAAACATACACTAGGATTTGTTTGCAAAGTTTCAATGTTTTTGTAATTGAATGCAGTGGTGCATTATTACAATCGATTATATTCTAAAAAATTTTATCAAGACAAAAACTTCTAGATGAGGTAAGAATAAAATTCTTACTCACACATTTATATCTAAATAATATTATTCGACTTCAAATTATTTTATCAAAATAACCATTATAGCTATATTTCTATGAAACAATATTTTTCCTAAATTATTTCAATTTTATTAAAAACAAATCATTTATTCTGATACAGTGTGACTGCTGTCTCTATCTACACATGTATGCAAAATAAAATTATGTTGTAATAGACTTCTCGTGTATAAAAAAAATAAAAATGGAATTTTTTTAGCGCTTTTATTTATATTTTATTTATTGAACCCTACTCACGCAATCATCAATTTCCTTTAATGCATAATAAACAACAATTATAAGAAGCTCTTTTCATCAATTATTTATAATTTTGAAATTTTAACCGGTGGCTTTCAGCCTGCTGTCATTATTAAAAGCTATTTTAGATTTTTTTTTTGTTTTGTTTTGTCGAAACATGTTCTGATTACTTAATAAAGCAGTATATTAAATCAATAAGTTATCTCAAATATAAATTATTTTATTGATTTTTCGATTTTAATGTTCGATATTACCAATAAATTTAATTATATCAATAAATTTTTTTCATCAGGATGAACAAACTTTACATTAGCTTTTGTCAACGTGTATGCTTTTTGAATTTTTTTGTTGGATGTATAGGTAACTTCATTATTCTATTGATTATTCTTCATGTTATATTAATATGTCGAGTAGAAAATATATATACATAAAATTTTTAAAAAGTCCATTCTTTGTGTTTGGTATGTATCGATTATGAACGATGCTAAGTTCTCATGTTTTCTTAGACAATCGATTTTTGCTGATAACGTTTGGTATGTCGGTTTTTTTTTTTTTTTTTAAGTTTATATTTCATTTTGAGAGAATATTTTCTAGAACAAAAATTACATCGGACTTGAGATGTTTGTGTGAATTGCGAATTCAAATGAATGAACTTTTGGACTATTACATGAAATAGTATTGAAGTATGTAAGATATATTTTACTTTTTTTCTTCTTTTTTTAAAAAAGACTTGCATCATTTAGATGGCATATGCCAATGGCCATAATGCGCTGAAACCGCTGGTTCTCGGCCGATCACCGAAGTTAAGCATCGTCGGGCGCGGTCAGTAGTTAGACGGGTGACAACAGATGTCATAGGAAGAATCAAAGAATTTATTTATCTTGTTTTCTTATTGTTATTTCTTATTTCATCTATATATTCATCTACAACAACAAAACTATCACAGCAAAGATGAATAAGAAGTCAACAAAAATTAAAATTTTCCATGTATTATGAAAATGACTCACACAGCATATGAAACTTATTATTATAGATTGACTTAAACGACATTATTATTTATAAAAGGGTTTATTAAACGCTAACAATCTTAATCTATCTAATAAAATTTCTAATCTAAAAAACATTAGTAAGTACTTAACGTTTTGTTCTGGAATTCTGTACTTTGAGGGACTTGGTCAAGATTTTGGTAGAGAGCTGACTTTTGTTTAAAATGTACCTGAAAATTATAACTTAATTTAACTAGACTCTAACAGAAGAAATTTTGCGAAAGGAATAGATCGAAATTACATCCATAGGAACTTAACCCTACACTATACCCTACTAAAGTAGTATAAATAGTGTGGTTTGTGTTATTAGTACTACTACCTAAATCCAGTAAATCTAGATTACGTTCTACTTTGGAATATGCTCTTATGAACTTAACGTGTCATCACTTAATTAAAGAGATTGGAAATGGCAACATATTATTTATTCGAAAATAAGTTGAAAAAAGGGCATTTAAAATCTTCATTGTAATTCATATTAAATTCTATCATATATAATGCAAAACGATCGAAAAATCTACAATGCACTATATAAATTTACTTAAAGATACTGATATAAACGTTCCTTTTTCGATAATATATTCACTCAATGGCAAACAAAACAAAAGATTTTTTAAAAAATTTATCGTAATCATCTCGTATATCTCGACAGTATTTTTTCACTTGTGTTCAATTTGGACGCTTGTAGCTAATACATATCAGCTTTTTCATGGAAAAGATATTAAAAAAAATTTTGCGTATCTTTTTGTAGGCATTTTAACTTTCACATTATGGTGTTCAATGCTCAGACAAAGAAAAAACTTACAAAATCTTACTCTTACAATAAAAAATCATTCCAGTTTTTTACAATGTATTCGAAGTACTCCTCATACATATCTTATAAATGTTATTGTTGTTATTGTTTATACTTTACCACCGATACTTGCAGCTATATATACTTATGAAATGCGAAATACTCTGAATAATTTTTGGACTTTGGAATATCCTGTTGATGATAAGACACATAGACTTTTTATATATTTTATAGGTATATACACGTATTTTTTTGTTTATTTGGAATATCCTTGTCTTTTTGCGTTATCAATGTGTATTCTTATGCACCATTATGGACTATTTCTTCTACAAATTTACAATTGCATAAAAATTAACTATAACACAGCTTTATCAACAAAATGCGCAAAAATATTATGCGATTACAATTTTATCGAAGAGAAGATTCATCTTTTGAAGGATACTATATCAACACCTTTGCTTATTATCTTGTCGATTTCCTTTTGCAATTTATACGCAACATTGTCATCATTTTTGCAGGGAAATTACAAAAGTTTTCAAGTGCTTGGATACTGTTCTACCTCCCTCGCCGGTGTAATGATCATATTTTTCCTAACAATATTCAGCTCTAGGATTCCTAAATATATGATGATGATAAAAGCTACAGTTGGATTTTTAATAGGTAAACAACAATACGATAAGTCACACTGTTGGAAAGAAACAAAAATTCTTGAAAAAATTAAGGAGAAAGAAATTATTTACATATCAGCTGGAGATGTGGTGTTTCTTAAGAAAAGTTTTCTTCTGTCAGCTTTTGGTGCTCTGTTCACTTACGGATTGTTAATTATTAATTTAAAATGAATTCCACATTTCTCTAAAACAAAGCTATGTAAACTGAGAAAACTGTTGTGAATATTGTACTCGTATAAGAGGAATTAAGCCAACGATTGATTTTTTTTTAATATTTAGCTTACATTATTTATTTTTAAAGGTGGTAATCGATTTAAAGTATCACTATCACATCATAGATGTCCTTTAATCTGAATAATTTTAGAAAAATTTTCATAAAATTTACATATTAGATTTAGATGAAAAAAATCATGCAAATTTATACTGTACAAAATAACATGCACGTTAATCATTTTCAAGAATAGAAAATATAATTATCTTATTATGAACAAATTGTAAATGTTAAAATTTTACTGTTCAAAATGACTCCGAGTTTATGAAACAAACCTTAAGGCGCGTTTAAACGCTTGCAATTTTTTTTTCTGTATAAAAACTGAAGCACACAAATGAAGCGTTAAATTCCAATCCAAGGAACAGAAACAAAACGAACAAAATAGTTTACTCACAACACCATTTGACAAATGATTACGGCATCTCGACATCGTACGTGCAGATCTGAAGGTCGTTGTTTGTGAAGATTCAGATAATTCTGTTAAGTATTTAATTGCCTGAATATCCGTTGTATGAAAAATATTTCGCATGTATGCTAGATGTACCAAGCATCTTTGAAATTGAGCATCTATCATTCCTTAGACGTTATATTAAGCATATATTATTGCTGCTCGATCTAATTAAGAACAATTTTTGTAAGCATGATTGAAAGAAAGCATCGTGTTAAAGAGTGGAAGTAAATAACTTATATTTCTTTTCAAATGTATGCATTGTATATCGCCTCAAGGAATGATTCTAGTGCCCATGTGTATATATATAGTCCCGTTTTGTATAAAAAGATTTGCTATAATGTTTTCTGTCTCTTTTAAATTATTTCCCATGATCTCTGAATTTACTTGTATATCATACATAAGATCAAATTGTAAAATTATGTGAAAAAGTTACTTTGACTATAAATATACTAATAAATTACCACAAAATCTGGAGTATAACGTGCACCCATACTTTCAAGCTGCATTTTTTAATTTTTAGGTATATTCGCCATATAATGCCCACCCTCATTTTTATAAAAGAACTAGAAATGTGGGTGTACAATGCTGGTATGTGTGTGTTTTAAAGCTATTTATTCGAGGTATTATCTCAGGATTTTGAAACAAAATAGTATACTTTTAAAATCAGAATCCTTTAATTTCATTAGGTATGTCGTTTCTTTCAAATAAATAGTATTCTGATCTATGTAGAAGTCTAATTTTTCTTATGTTCTCATCTCCTTTTTTATTTTTGAAACTATCGCTTTTTTTATATTCGACGTATAACGCGCATCCGTAAATTTCGATATCATTTTTTGTATTAAAAGTACGCGTTATATGCCGGATTTTTCGGTAATTATTTTTTAATATTTTTCAAGTACGTAAACCTTTTTACATTTTGTTCTTTTCTTGGTATTTTTGGTTTTGTATTTTTTTTTTCCATTTTTAATCACTAAAATTTATTTGTATATCTTTTCTATTCTTACATACAAGTAGCTCTTATGTACGTTGTATTCATACAGGGAGGTGTTGTAGTTGTAGTTTGGTGGGGTAGGAGCACTTAGTTCTTCCGAACCTTCATCTCCTTTCATGATATTTTAGATGACATTAAAACGCTTTCAAATTGTCCTTTTTAATAAATAATAATTAAAATTTACAATACAACTAATGAAAATTAATAAGAAAAAATTACTTTGATATGAATAAATTTACAAATATAAAATGAAATAAAGATAAAAATTGATGAAAAAGTCTTGACTTTTAAAAAACTTTTCGTGATGACAGTAAGCAGGGCGATGCTAACCAATCCGATTGTAGCCAAGGAGTCCAATATTTTGATGTGAGAAGGTTAGGGTATCGAGTGGAGCTTATGTGAATGGCTGATCAGAGAGAGATCAGCTATTTTTGCATTAAAGTTTAGATGAGAAGCTCGATCAATCATTGAGTAGTTAATGGAGAGAATTTAAAAATAAAAGATAAACAATTTAAAATAAAAGAGAACATATTGTGGAATTAAAGAAAAGCAGGATCAATTAGTATTGATCTGGGTCTGTGGAAAATAAGACCAGAAATATATTTTTTGATGCTAGTGATCGATTTATTATCAGAGTTGTCACTTTTATCAAAGAAATTGGTAACATTTCTCCTGGTCTAATAGTTGATATTTTACTCGCGGCTCTGAGGTCACATTCCTCATGAACCAGTAAGCATTAAGAATGTTCCTACCAATTAAATTTTGCAGCATTTTCTAGGTAATTAATATGCTGAATGTCCCCAAACAGGAGAGGAGTAAATCAAAATCGGTTTTAGAATCAGTGAGTAAATAAGCATTTTGTTTCTTATTACTTAATTTTGAATTTCTGGAAATTAAGGGGTAATTAAGGTTTTTAAAATTTTTCTCTAATAAAAGTTACGTATTGTTTGAAAGTGAGTTTTATCAAGGATAATTCCAAGGTATTTAGCTTGATTAGACCACGGGGTTCTATTCTCTCTGATGTAGGTATCTGGTGTTTTTTTGTATCTAGCGAAAAATATGGCTTCTGTTTTTAAAGTGTTGATGGCTATTTTCCACTTAATAAACCAGTGGTCAAGCTGAGTTAGATATCTCGTGTCATACATGAGATGAAGGCTGGTTCTTTGTGTTGACAAAGTATCTCTGTGTCGTCAGCATACATGCAAATTTCAGTGTTGTTAGTGGTGGGAATGTCGTTGATACGGATGTTGAAGAGTGTGGGAGAAAAAAAGGACCTTTGTGGGACCCCAGCATAAATTATTCAACTATTTGAGAGGGTATTCTTAATTTTGTTACAAAACGTTCTGTCGGAGAGGTAGGAATTAATCAGGATAATTAATGGGGTGGGCACTTTGTATTGTATTAGTTTATAAATAAGACCTGCGTGCTGGACGTGGTTGAATGCTTTTTGTATGTCTAGAAAAACTGCACCGGTGTACATTTTCTTTTGTGGCCAGATTTAATAAACTCTACGGTTCTGAGTAACTGGTGGAGGGTAAAGAGCTGTGGCAAAAAACCATACTATACCGGAATTAAAATTTGATTTTGATTAAGATGGTCATTTAATCTATTAAGAGGATGGTTTTTT